GGCCCTGGGGATCCATATTAAAGATGATATTTTTCATGCCCAGCTCCTGTAACACCTGCTGGATCTCTGCATATGTTTTCCAGCTAGTGGGTAAGTATGGTAAATCAACCCGATTAGGCCAACTGCCCTGATAGCTATTGTCAGCCAGTCCAAAAGCACCTGATTCTCTGAGGTGTGATGGGCACTCTGCAACTGCTGCTTAAGGGAAGGGTGAGTCATCTGGAAAGCCAGTCAACACATTTCAGAACCCAACATAACAATGTTTTCCACCTCCATATCCCAGAGACACAAAAGCCATGTAGGCAGAGGTTCTGACTGCTTCTGAAACTGGATGCTCATGTCCACCAGCATCTTGGGTATGGGGTGCAGCATGGAGTGGGGCAGCTCCCCCACCTGAGGAGCCCACGGTTGTTGTGTTTGTATTTTCTTAATTATAACCAGGCAGGCCTTTAATAAAGGAGGGTCTGGTGCCTCTTTCTGCCTCCTCCCTCATTGCTGCTGTATCTTCCAGGAGTGCAACCCATCTTCTCAATAGCTGTCTCTCTTTCTTAAGGGCATCCCATAGGTCATTGCCCAGCTCCTCCAAGCGATCCTCAGATGTGTTTCTCTCCTGCTGAAATCTCTCTCTCTCTCTCCTCACTCCTCAATAACCCTTTCCACTATCTCTAGAAAGAAACATCCCACAATCCCAGCTGCTACATGGCCTTTCAGGGCTGCTAAGCAGTCTTCTGTCTCATGGAAGGCTAATTCCACAGCTTCCAGTGTCTCTACCCTTTCTCAATTCTGGGAAAGGCCCCACCCATCTAGAAGGTGCTTTACCCTAGACCAATTCCCCACTAGGGGCTCCCCAGTTGGAAGCCTTATGGATGGGGGCTCCAGGTGAAGCTACACCCTCCATCACTGCAGCTGCTGGGGACTCCCCACCATCCACAGGGGGGTTTCTGGATCTCCCCACCATCTCTTGGGGCAGCCTGCCCAAGGGTCATATCCATGAAGACAGACTTCAAATTCAGAGGTCCTGCTGATTACTGCCAGAAGTAACTCTGAGGGGAAATATATTTTTCCAGTCTGGGGCAAATTCCCTTTGAAACCGAAGTCAGTCAAATGGAGAAATAAAGTGTGAGAAATCTGTTTATTGCTTACAAGCAGTTGTCCACTTTTGCTTGCCTGTGTCTCATGATCCAGGTGCAAAAATGGACCCCCACCCAACCTCTCTGTCCAGATATGCCCTGGCTCCCCCATGTAATCACCTACTGATATCAAGATGGACTACTCCTTTCCACCCCTTGGAAATAACTATTTATATGGTGATGCACTAAGGCCAGGCAAGAGATTCTGGAAATACTGCAATTTTACCCACAATAAAGTTCAAATAGAGATCTTTTTCATATAGTAAAAAATATGTACACAATATAAAATTGCCACTTTAACCATTTTAGGTGTACACTTAAGTGGCATTAATTACAGTCAGAATGTTGGGCAACCATTACCACTATCTGTTTTGAGGCCTTTCCATCATTCTAGATGTAAATTCTGTATCTGTTAAGCAACAACTCTACCTCCTTCCCAACCTAACCTTAGTTCCTGGTAACATCTGATCTACCCTCTGTCTCTATGAATTTGCCTATTCTAGATATTTTGTATAAGAATCCTACAATACATGTCCTTTTATGCCTGCCTTATTTCACTTTGCATAATGCTTTCAAGGTTCATTGATATTATGGCATGTATCAGAACTTCATCCTTTTTATGGCTGAAAAATACTCCATTGTATGTATATACCATGTTTTGTTTATCCATTCATCTGTTGATGGACACTTGGGGCAGCTCTTCAAATTGTTTTAGAAACAATTTAACAGAAAATAGCAACTAGTGCTCTGCTTTGGTGATCTGGCATTGGTGTGTAGGAAGCATTGAAGACAGGTACATTATCAGGAATTTTTGGCTACAAGTAACAAACCTCAATTTAAATTGGCTTTAATAATATTTTATTATATAATAGTAATTTATTATATCATATGCTAAAAACCTGGAGATAAAGTAGTTTTACGATTTATTAATTTAGATCTGAAGGACATAATGAAGGGCCACCCTTGCCTTCCTCCCTCCCTACTTCCTCTCTTCCTGTGCTCCTCCATTTCTTTCCTCCTTCCTCTTTCTTTTTGCCATCTTCACTTCCTTTGGTCAGCATCACTTCCTTATATAATTACTTTCAGAGGCAGAAAAAAAACAGTTGCTTCTCACAAGTATCTTCTTAAGGGCAAATAAGGCCCCCAGTGAACTTGTCTCATAGGTGATTGTCCAGAATTCCAGAGTTACATGCCCAGGCTGAACCGATTTCTGGAAAGAGGATTGGAATTACCATGATAGAACAAGTTGTTGATGAACCAGAATTACATAGTTTGAGGGGAAAATAATGTTGTAATAAGATCCCTAAATTGAATACAAAAATGGATCGTGTATTACCAGATAGTAAAACTGTAACTTTTGGGGCTGTCTCCTCTTCAGGGCAGGGAAAACAAAGAACAACAACACCACCTTACCATTTTTCTATCTGTTAATTGCTAACTTGGCAAGGTTGTAAAATATCTGAGCCCTAACCAGTTTTTTAGTTATATTCCCTGGGAGAGTCATGTGTACCTCAGTAGAGTTTATTAGAACTGCATGATATTAAAAGGTCACCCAGTCATATATTTTCCTTATTTCCAACTTCTGAATACTTTTTCCAATAGGAGTAAATTAGATTGTCTGGGGAGATGGCACAGGAAGGAAAAGATAGAGGACAAAAGGCCAAGTTCCAATCTATGGCATATTCCACATTATGCAATTTTTACCATTTGTACTATCTGGGCTTTACTTTTTCTTTATTTCTCTCATACAGTCTCAAAGCATGTTGTAATTTCTAGTCACCCACTCTTCTCTTTCTTGGCTTAATGTACATAGTAGTTGTCTCTGTGACCTTGGCCAGTAAAAACATTTAAACTTTTATTTAAATTCATAAATAATATCCATAAATGTCAAGCCAAATAAATGTAATCTTTAGAAAGTAACTCAAAGTGCATGACAGCACCTAGCATAGTATTTAACACATAAGTGCATGCTTAAGTGTTTACTAGAATAAGGTCTCCATCAGCAGGGATTGTATCTTATTCACAGTTAGGTATGTAATGCCTAGCACAGTGCCTTAAATGTTGGAGGAATTCAGTATTTGTTGAGTGGTTTTTAAAACCAAATTCATTTTAAAAATGAAAAATGCTCTACAGCAGTGTTCTCCAAACTCCAGTTGTATAACCTCTAAAATAATTTTTTAAAAAATCCCTACCCTCCACACGTTTTAAAGTTGACATTTAAATTTCCCATCATAAGTTTAAATAGTTGCAAAGGATATAATTTCTAGTTTGCAAATATTGACATATTTAAATAAAACTGTTACATCAATTTTAAAACATATCCAACAGAACATAAATACCATAGAATTTTAAATATCATTCACTTAAAAGAGTGAATGAACCCTTCACTAACCATTACAATTTTAAGTTTCTTTTTCTCCTTGAATTTTTATTTCTATTCTCATTCTCCCAAAGTTTTATCCAAATGTAATATATTTCTATGCTTGAAAAATCTCCTGATCTTCTTCTTATTCATTAAAATTAAAATATTAAAAAATTTTCTGTGATTTCTGGGTTGAGCTGTCATTATAATTATTAATGATATGTAGTTGATCAAACACCATGAACATGTTATAAATTTTAGCAAATTATTTCTAAGCAAAAAAAAGTAAAGTGTTAGTGGGAGTGATCTTTTAACAAGACATAGCAGACTATTTTTGGACTTGATCAAAGATTTGCCTAAGTGCAATATTTTGAATTATCCCTTTGTTTGGCACATTGGAGATTTTTATACCTCAGGGCAATGTGCTGTCATAAGACTCGGGGTATGCTTTGATGGGAGGAGATATGCTTTATGTTGTAAAGTTGGAGAAAGGACCACAGTGAAAGGGAGGTGGGAAGGGGAACTAGCATGATTCTACCACCATAGCATAATATCAGGCTGATCAGTTTTAACAAAGGGCATATGTGAGAATTAAGGCTCTCAAAATTCATTCCCTTAAAACTGTCTGGACTCACATATATAAAACTTTGTGCACCTGTAAGGCCACAGTTAGAAGATTGCTACCTTACAGGATAATTTGTAGAGATCATGTTAACTGAGTAAAACAAATGTGATTAAGTGGACAAGATGGTTGTAATGGGCACATACTGTTTTTTCTCTCATTTCCATTCCATGTGGTTCTGTTAGGGAAGTCAGTTACACTGCCTCATCTCCCACAGAGAGCTTTGCCTGGCCAGTCATATTAATACTATTCCCCGGGATACAGTAACTTGTCCAGCAATAGTCATAACAACCAAGCAGATAAATCAGTCTTTCCCAGGAATTGGTATTTCCCTGGAACACTGAGGAAGGAAATTTTACTTTCTTTCTATTAGGAGCTGCTGAGCTGTGAACATGTGAATCTAGAGCTGTTGGTAACCAACTGTAAATGCCTGTCTGCAGAATGAAGGCAAGCCAAGCTAAGCAAAGAGTCAGGGAGGCCAAACCAAGGACCTTATGGCAAATGGAATTTCAGTACTTGAGACCTTGGTTCTTGCAGCTTTTTTTTTAAAATTTTTTATTAAGGTATGATTGATAAACACTCTTATGAAGGTTTCACATGAAAAAACAATGTGGTTACTACATTTACCCATATTATCAAGTCTCCACCCATACCTCAGTGCAGTCACTGTCCATCAGTGCAGCAAGTTCTTGCAGCTTTTTTGATACTGTGAGTTTTCCCAGTATCCTTTTCAGCTGTGTGGGCCACTAAATTACTTTTTTTTGCTTGAGTTAGTTTATATTTTTGGTGCTACTGAAGTAATTTTATTAACAACCGAAGAAGTAAACACAAAGATTGTGAAAATCTCTCTTACAAAATGAATAATTTTGAAAACTTTCTCTTCTAGATTGTTGGACCTTCAGATGGAAGTAGTTACATCATAGATTATTATGGAACCAGACTTACAAGACTAAGTATTACTAATGAGACATTTAGAAAAACACAGTTATTTCCATAAACATTTTTAAAAAGAAACAGTAAGTGATATTATATATAATCATAATTATATTATTTGTATACAATTATGAGAATTTGAAAACCACAGAAAATTTAATAGATCATCTAGTGTTCTAAACCTGTAATTTTGGTTATCAGGAAACAGACCTACATATGCCTGGAATATCCCTAATCTTTTGCAAAGCATTTTTATGTGTGTTCATTGCTCCTGCAGTTCTTAATTCAGAGTCTCTTTCTTTGCAGTAATATGGTTAAAGGACAAAGTTCATATACACATACGAAAAGACAGTATTATGTGATGGTTATGTAAAGTGTGTGTTTAATACAGCTTATCTTCTCTACTGTCCTTTTCTCCTAGGGTCATTATTATCCTTAAACTTCTTCCTCATCTTCTCCTTCCCCAGACCTGAAAGTTGAAAGAGTCTCAACTCTGAACTACTATACATACTTATTCTAATGTAAAGTTTGGCCCTGACTATGACAATTATTAATTGGTCTCAGCTTTAAATAGGTGATATACCTGGAGAAGTCAGAGAAACTGTCTTCTTAGTTCAACCTCCTGATTCTTTAGGACTCTGCTAGTATGAGGTTTTTATTTCTGTGACTGTACCTTAGTCTGTTTTAGCACATAATCTTCCAGTAGTGCTAAATTTTTCTCAGAATTTTTGTAGACTATCAGGAAAACAATTCCCTGGTATAACCATCTCTGCAGCAGAGAAGCCCCAGATAACATGTAGGGTGCCAGCTACTTCTAGGTGATAGTTCGCTTTGAATAATCTAGCATCTTTTAGAGAGAGGAGGCAGAAAGACAGGCTAGATGTTTTGGCCAGTCAGTCCTAGGGTTTTCAGTCAACTCTATCTCAAGAGCGGCCAGGAAGGGAATACACATTCATTTTTCTAGGTTGTAGGGTATAATAAGGATATAAAGTATAATTTTGCCCTTAAGGTAGATTTTTCCTTTCTTTTCTCATAGTAAAATTATGGGATACGCTTTATAGTTATTGTCATGAGAGCTGAACAGCAACAGACTGTTAGGATCTTATGAATTTATTCAACTGATTACCCCAAAAGTTTATACTATCTTTTTTTAAAACCTGTAAGAGTCTTTTGGTTTAAAAAATTGACATGAAGCTTAGAGATCCATCTGCCTCTCCTTAGCAGGGAATAAATTGGGACCTAAGAAAGTTGCAGCTAAGACACACAGCTAATCAGTGCAAAAAAAACAGTCTAGAATCTAGATTCAGTGCATTCCATTAGCTGTTCTATATCTTTTCCCCCATCCCATTCCCGACTAGCTGTGTCACTTTGTATAGGCATCTTCATTTTAGAAATTGTTATTCCTACTTTAGGAGAAGGGTTGTGTAGTTCTGTTGTTTCTTTCAAAAGTACTTAGATTGTTTTTAAATGATAATGTTTAAAAATTAAACAAATGCTATTTAAAAAGCAATTCCAGCTCTGTAGCCTACTATGTAAACATTTAATTGGGATTCCAGGCTCAAAATTGAAATATAAAACTCGAGGGGCCCATTGAGAAGGCATATCTCTGCTTGTCATTCATATGGTCTTTCTATGGCATATATTTACTATAGATGTACTCCAAGAATAAGAAAAAATACCTTGAGTAAATGAAGCATTAAAATGTGCATCTATTGGACACTGTAAATAACCTCATTGGACTCTTTTAAAATACTGTGTTTTAATGTGTTTCTTTTTTCTGTTTTAGGATTTGGGCCTCCTTGATTTTAGTGAGAACTCTCAGTATGTGGATTTCCAGATTTTCCTTTTTCCTTCTTTACATACCACTTTATGGATTCTGTATGATTTTTTTTGTTGTTGTTGATGTTTCTCTTTTGTTGTTTTAGTTAAAAGCATATTATTCTGAGATTTATTTAGTAGGACTTTCTTTGAGAGCTGTATGATAATAGTCTTTCTTAGGCTGCTGTCTCTATGAGATAGCTTATTACCTTGATATTCTTTAGTGTCTTTTCCAAAGGCAAATTGGCACTTGTCATTTTTGCTTCTAAAAAATAAGAATTTGACTTATTCACATTTTTTAGTGCTTTATTAAAACCTTTTTAAATGTTGAATGTAGCTGTCTTCTGCGTTTTGATCTTTCAAAGCAGTTAATCCATGATGTGAACAAATGTCATTTATATTGCCTGGGGCTGCAGTCTTATGTGTGACAACCTACCTGACTTTCTGCAGCTTTCAGATCTGTCTTTGCTTTGGTCCCCAGGGAGCTAAAGATCGTCAGGGAGTCTGAGACCTTGAGGCAACATGGATACTTCTGGCATTGGTTCAGGTCCCTGAAGTGTGAACTTTTACCTTTTTGTTTTGGAGTGGTGCGCTAGCTTTCGAAAGACCAGATGCTGACTCATTTAGCTCAATACAGTTATATTTGAAGCTGGATGGACAAGGTGGGAACACTGAGCAGATGATTAATGTCTTCCATCTGTTAGGCCTGCCCGCAGATGCCAGCACAAGTGCCTTAAGTGATGCACCAGATCTGAAGGAAGTCGCACCTGCACATGAACTCTGTTTTTCCTTAACATGTTTAGAAGGGTTTTAAGAAGATGGAACTACATGAAATATATGTCCCATAATACCATCATGCTCTTCCTTTAGTAATAGGCATCCCAATTTCAAAATTACTGGGGTCTGGGCTCCTTAAGAGTAAAGGACATAAGTTTTTTTATCGCTCATTTTACTCAAAAATATATAGTATAGTACAGTTAGCTTCGTAATATGTTAGTTATTCAGTAACAGCTTCTCTAGTTCATGAGAGATAATATTAAGTATTGATATGTGAAGTGAATTTGGATTGATTCTTACTGTTCACCAGGAATGGCTTCTTTGATTAGTTCATTAATTAAAATATTGAATGTCTACCATGTGGGAGGCACTGTTCTTGATGCTAGGATGCAACAGTGAAGAAAACACAGACATCCCTGCTCTTAAAGAGTTTATATGTCCTTGGGATTCACTTTTTTCACAGTGATAGTAGTTTTGTCCACAGTTAAGCTAGCTAGTAGCTGCCCATTTTCTAGATTCCCTAGTTCCTTTTGATTGCAGACAGTGTTTTGAAATTTACTTCAGGATCATCTAAGCCCAGATTTGAAAATCTTTAAGTTTCCACAGCCACATAAGTTCAATTATGTAAGAAGTACCTGCAATCAAATCTTAGAAAGTACTCTTGATTCTTGAATAATTGTTATAGGTATTAACTTGGGAAGTGTGTTCAAAGCAGGTGCTTCTCAAAATATTTATTCAAATAAGCTGCACTCCAAAAGGGTTGTTGATAAAATCTAGAAGTAAAGTCCCTTCACAATACAGTCTTAAACCTTTAGACTTTATTTTCACTATAATATCCTAAGTTTACATGACAAAACACCAGTTTTTCCAGATTGCTTTATTCTGTTGCCTAATATATATTCTTTAACAAATTATTTTTCTGTCTTATTTTATTTTTATGTGAATGCATTTAATGAATGTGAGTGCATTTTTTTGTTTACTTTCATGGAGCACTGTTTTATTACAACTATTATTATTAGTGTGTGTGTGTTTGTGTGTGTGTGTGTGTGTGAGCACAAATTATATGTTAAGGCCTCTGTATGGAGATGCTTTACATGATAATCCTGCTTATAAAGGAGTGGCAAAAATTGTGAGATGGATTAGCTCAGTCATTCCTTGGGTTACTCCAAAACCCTCTAGGATGGAATGAAATGGATTCTTTCAGTTCTACAGAAAGTGTTTCTGTAGAAACATTTACAAATGGTACTACTTTATTTAGCCCAAAAGGATTAATACAATTTCCAGAAGTACCTCTTTACCCCAGAAGATTTCTTACCTACCCTGTATTAAACTAAAGGCCCTGTTTAAAACTTCTAAGATTCTGTTATGTGCACAGCCAGTATTTGTTCATGGAACCTCTAGGACTGTAAGAGATAATACTTTGGGGATATGTTTTGTTTCATGAAATTTCAGTGTCTTTAACCCTTATTTTAACCCATATGCTTTTAAGGCTAAGCAAAGTATTATAAAACTGATAAGGAACCAGGAAGTTAAAAACAGATCTAAGAAAAAAACTAGAAAAAAGGAAAATCAGTTTTTCGGAAGTATAATTATAAGATGTTGGTTCATCTTTCTCACTCAGACATCTTAAATATAGATATTCTCCAGAGTTCTGGCACCTTCCCTCTTCCTTTCTCTAACTCAGCATCCATTTTGCTTTTTTCCCTTTAAAAACTAATACAAGCTAAATGAAGAAATTTTGGGAAAACAAAAAGTGCAAAGAAAAAAAAACTCTACAACTTACGGATAACAATGTTAATACTTCTATATACCCTATTATTTTTACATGCATGTATGTGTACATTTTTCTTCTCAAGAATACTATATTATCCATATTTCTTCTTCACCTTGTAAAGATTTTTTTCTATTTCAGTGAATATTCTCTTACAAAATTATTTTTAATGGCTGCAGAGTGTTCCATGTCTGTATCATAATTTGTTATTTCTTATTGTTTAGTATTTAAGTTATTCCAATAAATGGACGATGCACATTTCTGTTTTTTTCTCTAGAATTGTAAGTCTTACTCAACAAATAATTATATATTAAAGTTTTTTGATGCATACATACACTCTTAGTTAACTAATCAGGGTAATGGAAAAAGAATGAAGTCAAACAGCCCAAACCAAAGTTCAGTCAACTCTCCTTTACCCTGGTGCAGATTAACAGCAGATCAGACACTGCAGGGACCTGCAACTACTCTTGCTCTGCAGTTAGGCCAATGCTTATTCAAGCTAATTGCTGGCCTTCTCATCCCAGGGACTAGAGAAGAAGAGCAAAACTTTGAGAAAGAGATAGCTCCTGGAGGAAGGGTGCTGGTGAAGAGTATGGGGGCATGATAGCAAATCTATGCATTTGGTACAGGATGTCAGGTGGTTGACTGAATCATCTAATTGCCTCCAGAAAGCTTGAAGACGAGAGAAGAGTTTTAAGGAGTGAATAGGAAGCTCATTCATAATGGTCTGTACTCTCCTCTGCTGAGAGGAAAAACAAGGTAAGTAAATTTGAAAACTGAGAAAAGTTACTAATAAGTAATGAATAAAATAATTCTGAACTGCACTGAGTGCCCAACTGAGTCCTGGAATGCATTTGTAGTTGTGTTAATCATTGTGGTGATAGGTACTCATTTCTATTTTTTTAAATAGAGCGTAATATCTTAATTCTTAGTAAATATAACAAAAGTCTCTTAAAATTAGTCATTATCTGATGGATAAAGAATGCTATTTACTTCCCTAGAAAATAGGTATTTTTAAGAAAAAATACTTATAAAAAATATTAAGACTTAAAATCTAAAAATTTCAAGATTTTAACTTGCTAAAAGTTCCTTTTACTGCTCTCCACATGCAAGGTATTATGCTAAGCTCATTATATAGTTTGTGTGATTTTGTCCTTATAGCATTTCTGTAGAGTCCTAAAGAGTCAGTATTATCCCCACTTTGCAGATAAGTAAATTGAGTCTCACAAAGTTTGGATGACTTGCCTCAAGGTTAAGCAGTAAGCGGTGAAGCCAGAATTTAAACCTGTTTACTAACTGCTATCCTGCCAGCAATTTAATGGTTACAACTATCTGATTCTGTGAAATTCACTGCTAGTGATTGTGTAATAGATTTTTCTTCTTCTTAAAATGTTTAATGTTTTCATTAGAGATGGAGTTAATCTGCCTATACTCAGCCATTTTGCTTAACATGGTTTGCTGTAGAAAATAACTTACTTATTCAAACTTACAGACTTTACATCAGGAAAATGTCAAAATGTTTTATGAATATCAAAATGAGACTATGATAGAGTAGTGATTATTGTCCAAAACCCAAAGATTTTTCTGCTGCTCCCTCATCTGACATTTGTAGCACTTTCTGGACTGAAAGTCTGATTATGTTTGTATGACAAGGGGAGAGATGTTAGGTAGGACCATCATCTCACATTTTGCTTGGTCTTGCCTGAGGTCAGATGAAGCTAGAGACAGCTGTAGGTGCTGGGATTGCAGGTGATTTTCATTTAGTTTTTCTTTTGGCCTATCTGAACTTCCTAATTTTTCCATAATACATCTGCTGTACTACATATTTCACTTCCTCCCTCCTCCTCAGGATACATTTACTCTGATTTCTGATGTGAGTCTGACTTTAAAGGATAGATGTATTTCAAAGAAAAAGGCATATTTAACCATGATATCAAAGGTTTGACATCCAAGCAGCCATTTGTTGGGAAAAGCACAGACTTTGGAGTTAGGCCTGAGTTTGTATCCTGTCTTTGACCCTTGTTTTTTGACTGAGCACATATGGTTCTGAGCCCACCTGTCTTCATATAAATACATATAATAATACTAGACAGGTAATGTTGGAAGATTAAGATGACATAGATAATAGTCACCATTTATTGAACATATTTTTAAATTAAAGTATCATTGATATACAATCTTATGAAGGTTTCACATAAACACATTGTAGTTTCGACGTTCACCCATATTATCAAGTCCTCCCCACTCCTCCCCAATTGCAGTCACTATCCATTAGCGTAGTAAGATGCTGTGGGGTCATTACTTGTCTTCTCTCTGCTGTACTGCCTTATTGAACAATATTTTAAAGGAATGGAATGGTGGCATTAGGCATTGGTGAGGTCCATCTCAAATTTGCAAGGGGTTCCTCACCTTGCAAATATAGTGTGGTTATACCTTCGGTGGAATACCAATGAACTCAAAACAGTTCCTTTTCAAAAGGAAGGTAAGTTGTGAGTTTTGGGTGTTGTTTACCTACATTTTAAAATCTTCACTATTGTTACCATTATCTATAGCTACTCTGTGTAGAAAGGGCCAAAAATGTCTCCTTTCTCAAGAAAGTACTTACAGTCTTACTGGCACCTTCACTGCTTTCAGTCTCTACTTACATAAGGGAAAGCTGCAGTATTGTAGGTTGTGTTTTTGTTGCTTTTTAATCTAAGGTTCTCTGGAGATATTTATCTAATAAATTTAGAAATGTTGCTGTGAGGCAGCTGATCAGTCTTCTTTCAGCCTAAATTAAGGTTAATTGCAAGCATTCGCTATGCATAGGACACAATGTTGCTTTTAACCTGTCAATGTTATCAGAATATGCCAAGCATGTGGAGATTAAAACTTGAAAAATGATTAAGGTTAGAGCTATTTGGACTGCATATGCCAAAGGGAAACGTTCGTTTACCAGAACACTTTAGAAAGTGTGCAGTGTTTGGAACTTCTAATCATGTGAACTAATTTCATATTTAAGAGGGTATGATTATGAAGGCTCATCGTCCCACCTTTGATTTTCAGACAGACCTCAAAATTTGACCACATATTTGAATGAATTAAAAAATTCATTTATTATTGCAACATTAGAAACAGTAATAAGAATAGCATGTCATTATATGATTTGTGATTGAGGCAAACTCTTGCAGTGAAGTGGTCTGAGACATGACACAAATTGCTTTAAATAAGCACAGCAAATCTTTAAAAAGGTATTCAGAAGAAATGAATTTTTTGTTTATCAATTCTCAACTACTTATTGACCTACTATGTACCCCCTTCTGCTACAATATATTCTGCATATAGCTGCCAAAGTTATAAAAGTAAATGAAAACATGTCCCTTTTCTGCCAATTTTCTGATGGCTGCCTGTCATACTTCAAATATGCCAAATTGGTTCTTGCCTCAAGATCTTCATACTGGCTCTTTGCTTGGAGTGCTCTTTCCCAGGTCTTTGGAAGCTTACTTCCTCACTCCTAACTATTATCCCTGACAATCCTTTCTAAAATACTACCCCAGTCTTCTGCTAGGTCACTCTGAATCCTTTTCCTGCTTTATTTTCCTTCAAAGCACTTATTACTACCTGAAATTACCTACGTTTATTGATTTCCCCTTTCTCTCCCCTACTAGAATATAAGGTTGGTAAGGGCTGAGACTTTTCCTTGGTTATTACTGTCTCATCAGTGCTGAGAACTGCCTAGAATATGGTAGGTGCTCAGAAGATAAATTCCCACTATAATGGGTTAATAGGAATATGAATTTGCCTGAGATTACATAACCTTCTGCTTTGAATAATTTACTTTAGGAGTTTGCTTCCAAAAATGATTGCAACCCTAATTCTTGTCTACAGGAGGTGGGTGAGTCAATGAGCCTCTGCTGATTTATTCAAGTCCTTGGTAGTCCCAGTGCTTAGAACAATGCTTGGTACAACATAAGAATTTTATAAACATTAAATTCTTACCTTAGAATAGGTGATGTTTCGCCACACTGGGCTTTTCCGTAAGTCTGTAAAAATATCTGACAAGTATCCCTTTCAGATTTTCCCCCTCTGTCCATTCACTTTAGCTTGAGAGATATTAGCCCCTCCCTGCTTCTGCTGCCTGTTCTAAAACCGTCTAAACCCTAACCCAGTACAAAGCAGACCTGGAAGGTGGCCTCTCCCCAAGGAGCAGTGGTATCTGGAAATGTCCACTATTTACATCCCCAGGGAACACAGGTCCTTAGGAAGGATTAAGCCCCAGGAATATCTGATGGAACATCAGACTATAGCTTTCCTAGTGAGGCTACATTTGAGAAAGCATTGTTGGTCTGTCTACCTTTTCTGCCAATAGTCTGGTGGTAGGCAGATATAGCACCGCAAAGATACCCTCGTCCTCATTTCCAGAACCTGGGAATATATTACCTTTCATGAGAACAAGGACTTTGCATATATGATTGAATCATGGATCTTTAAGTGGGAATCTTATCCTGGCTTGTCTGGGTGGGCTCAATCACTGGAGTCTAAGGGAAAAAGGAGAGCCAAAGATTAGATGACTGAAGCAGAGGTCATATTGGAGAAATTTTTGATGATTCTGCCCCACTGGCTTTGAAGATGGAGGAAGGGGCCATGAGCCAAGGAATGTGGGTGGCCTCCAGAAGCTAGAAAAAGAAAGGGATTCTTCCCTAGAGCCTCCAGAGAAAAATGCCACTCTGCTACTTTGCTTTTAGTCTAATAAGACCCACTTCAGACCAATAACCTCAATAACTATGAAATTATAAATGTGGGTTATTTTAAGTCACTAAGTTTATGGTATTTGTTATAGCAGCAAAAGGAAATTAATACATTATTATGCTCAAAGTGAGTTTACATTTTCATTCTTACTCTGTTAGGGCTAAAGTCTGCCATTTTATTACTTGTCTGTGTTCTCCCTCTGTTATTTATTCTCTCTTTTTGCCTCATGGGTATTACCTGAACATTTTTTAAAAAATCAATTTTCCTTTATTTCCAATGCTTTTGAGCATATTACTCTGCATAATTTTCTTCAGTGGTTGCTCTTGACATTACAGTGACTTATCACAATCTATTGGTATCAACATTTTGCCACTTTGAGTCAAGTATTGAAAGCTTACTTCCATTTAGGTCCCTTTATCTTTTCCACTTTTAAAATGGCACAGCAGTGATAGGAAACTTAAGATAGGCCTCCAAATCTCATATGGGCTTGTGAGTAATCTTCCTGAATTCAAATTCTACCCTCTCTACTT